ATCGGGTACGTGCATACCAGCGCTAATGGAATGGCGACAGTGAACTTAAGCTTAAAATGGCCACCACCAGGAAGCAGGAACTATGCACAGTCAGGCGCCTCAGGATTGAAACGTGGCCCAACATATAAATATGATTTATTTAATCTGAGTGTCATGATGACTTTTATAATTTTTAAAAATACAGGAAATATAAGGAATAAACTAGTTTTCAGCTTTAAAATTATTTTCATTTACGTCATGTAATATTACGTGAGAAAAAGTTGGGTTAAGTAGCGAACTCCATATTAAGATGTCTTTTAATTTAATTCCCACCATTATTCAAGGCTTCTCCCAGTGTTTCATCATATAAGGAATAAACTAGTTTTCAGCTTTAAAATTATTTTCATTTACGTCATGTAATATTACATGAGAAAAAGTTGGGTTAAGTAGCGAACTCCATATTAAGATGTCTTTTAATTTAATTCCCACCATTATTCAAGGCTTCTCCCAGTGTTTCATTACTCAGATGGTTTAATTAAAGCCAGTGTGAAAGAAGCATATTAAAAGGTTCCTGAAGCAATGCTAGAGGTTGATTCATTTAGAATATACTTGGAGTTCTTCCATAATTTTCCCATACGGAGCTATTTCCATGTAATATTTATGACATAGCATTTCCTCTGAAGTATAAATATTCTTCCAAAAATATTGCCAGTAACTCTTACAGTCTGTTATTGACATGTCATGTCCTTCCTTCTTCTAGTTCAAGAATCACTTACACATAAAGTATCTGCCTTTACCTCCCTGCCCCTGCTAATGCTAGACTGCCCACTAATAATGGATCTCTCAGTGAAATGATAAATTCAGAGAAGTGGAGAACAGGAATTTACCCCATGGAATTACTCTGAACTAAATAGCTCCTATTGTGTTAATTCTCCTTCTGTTACTTGAACTCTTTATCCTTTCTGGATGATCTAAAACAGTGCTTTTCAAACCTGGTGGCACATTAAAATCACCTCGGGAGCTTTAAAATGTACAGATGTCTTGATTCTGCTCCAGACCAATTAAATCAGACTCATAAACATTGGTAATAAGTTTAAAGTTCCCCATGTGATTCTATCATGCAACCAAGATTGAAAACACTGATCTAAAACAGAAGAAATGTGACAGGTCCATTGGTGTCAGGAATAGATTTGGCTGTCTCCCACATCTTGGTAGCAGGTTTTCAGTTCCTTTTAAGTTGAGAATTTCTCATTTACTTTGGTCTTTTATGTATACCTGATCAACCAACACCTTGAGCTCGCAGTGGGCAAACTGAGTGCCTGATGATATCATACCTAGGCCCTGGTAGCTGTTGTTTGTATAGTTTGAGCATATTAGAAAAAAGGAACTGTGTTTGAACATATTAAGAAAAGGAACCATTACAGTTTATAGAATCTGAGAACTAAGACTTCTCTTTGCCTCAGAGCAACTGAGGTTTATTTCTCCTCTGTGAGCTCATCAGAAAGGGAACAGCAAGTATACACTGTATTTTCAACTCATCTTTTGTATCTACCTTCCAGTGTCCTCATGACCTGTTAACTCTGTTCCTTAGACTTTAGCATAAAGAATCGCCTGCGATGCTTTTAGAAATATAATTCCCTGGCCCTACCCCTAAAGATTCTGATTTATTTCACTGAGGAATCTGCATTTTTACATTTTAACCTGCTCCCTGGGTAATTCTCAATCCACTAGTGAAGATAGCCCATTTCAAAAAAATGATACTCTAATTTCTTTAGTTGTTACTCTTTCAAGAAGGAAGGGAAGAATAAGGGATACCGTGGCTTTATTATTTTGTTCCCTTCCATTCTGTAACTTACCACATGATGAAGATTCCATTTAATCATTTGGCACAAAGTGTACACACACACACACACATATCTAGTCTGTACATGTGAGAAGTGGTGAATGCATGACTCTCTTTGGTGTTATCCTTGGTAGTATATGACAAGAGCAAAAAGACTTTTGGGAAATTATATATACTTTGTGACTTTAATGATTATTTGCTATCTGTCTAGAAATGTTTTCTAGAATAAAACCTCTGTATTTCAATTCTACTTGGTCTTGAACATTTCCTGATATTGGACTTCTATTTAGGAGGTATTAAGGTAGAGATTTTGTTACAATGTGTTAAAAAACTTTTTATTTTTTTGGATTGGTCAGATAAGATAAGCACCCTTAATGATTATCATCAGGGTTATCTTAAAATTTAGTAAAGTTTTAAATCATGTATGTTTTATTTTTTATTTTATTTTTTTGTCTTTTTTCGAGACCGGTAAGGGGATCGCAACTCTTGGCTTGGTGTCAGCCACACCGTGCTCAGCCAGTGAGAGCACTGGCCAGTCCTATATAGGATCCAAACCCGTGGCGGGAGCATCGCTGTGCTCCCAGCGCGGCACTCTCCCGAGTGCGCCACGGGGCCGGCCCTATGTATGTTTTATTTTTAAAGAATTAGTCTAGCTATAGCTTTATTGAATGGTGTATGTGGGTATTAAAAAATGTTTGTCTTTTAAATTCTACATGCTATATGAATTTCATAATTAGAAAACAGAAAAATGTTGATTTGAAATTATAAACTGTGAAATATATTATTGAAGTTCATAGTAACAACTAGAAATCATTTATATGCTTTGACTTTACAGATAATTATAATTATTACAGTATTCATTAAATTGTACCTGTTGAAATCAACTTTATTCCTTTGAGCCTAATAAAATAACTTTAATTTGCTTTTCAGTAAAAATCTGTTAGTAAAATATTTAGATAATGTATGCCTGAAAAATATTTGAATAACAGGAATTGTAAATGATGAAGTAATATATTTATATTTTCATATAGCATACAAATAATATAAATTAATAATTCTTCTGTTTAATTAGGGCTTGGGTTTGCATTTCTATCAAACCGTTCTATTATGCAACCTTATAGTTCAAAAATAATTTAAGGATATGTGATGCAGTAAAGCCTGTGTCTCACAATGGCCATTTTCAGTTTCTTGGCAGCACAGAAGTGGAGCAACCGAAAGGGACAGAAGTTGTGAGAGATGCTGTAAGAAAACTAAAGGTAGGAAAAGCCTTCAAATGAATGTCTAGTGTTTTGATTCTTTCATGTTGTCAGCAAACTGATGGAAATCAAAGCATGATTAGCTTTGCAGCACGTATAGTTTCACACTGTTAAAAATGATCTATTGAATAAATATCACCAGATCAAGGACACATTATTAATAAATACGTACACACAACTAATTTTTTTCTGAATATGGCTTACTATTTGTATTTTTCTAAGGTGTAATTGCTCATACTCAACAAAAATATTTAATGCCGATATTTCATAAGTGTTGACATTTAGTAACTTGTCTTTGCTTGGACAATGCTCACTTATGCCTTAACTCAAAAATTGGTAATGGCATAACAACTATTTCAAATATTTAATACATCATATCCACCAGTTGAAAACATGGCATTAGAGTTCATTTCAAAGCAAAATTTTGCAGTGACACTATATATTAAAGATTTCCCAATGGGAAAATCCACGAGGATCTAGACATGTTGATGAGCAGCCGTGGGGGACTAAGAGAGAAGAGGACATTTAATAAGCAGCCTGGTATAGTCATAATCGGCAAGTTTCCTGAAAAATATCTTACACAAGATGCCACAGAGCCTGTTTTTCTAATTGCTTCCCATATCAAAGGACATTGTTTCACTGAGATTTTAAAATTTGAAAAAGTCCTTCAACAGAATTATCATCTTTAGTGTATTATAAAATCCACATACTGCTACTTTGTTTACACAATTAATTCTCTGTGTTATTCTCTATGGCTGCTCTCATATTTTTGGAGAAACAACCCTTCTCTATCTTTATTTGGTTTAGAGACAATCCAGTTACTCCACAGGAGAGTGAGGTCTCTGATTGTTCCAGGCAAAGTCATAGACATTAAAAAGTATTCCTTTGTTTTGAGAATATCATATCAAGTGGAATTTACTCAGTGTTTACATTGAGGAAAAACTGAAGTGGTATAGCTTGTATTCTGGGTGAAGAAATAAAGATGGATAATATTTTTATCCATCCATTTTATATGTAAATATTTTACCTAATCCTTTAAAGTAAAAATGCCAAAAGGTCCCAAGATAGTATCACTCACATTTGGAAAAAGAGTGGACAAGCCAACCATTTCTTTCCACTGCGCATGGGGTCATAATTCAAACTTAACCTTCATTTAGCCAATATTTTAAAGCACTGATAGAGGATTTAAAAGGCCTCAGTCTATGGACAACATTTAATGTTTTTAAAATGTTGCAAATTCTGGACATGAGTCCAACTTTACTACAATCAGAATGTTTTATAAAAGAACAGTGATTTACACTTAATGTCTCTTTATACCTAGGTGATTCTTTATTCAGTCAACCCTAAATCCAAAGCCAAAACTATTCAAATACAGAATGACTGGATAAAATAGAGATATTTGAAATCAAATGCTTTCTAAACAATTGCTAGCTTACATACATTTTTGTGGGATTTTATATTGGGTCTAGAAATGCACTCTGTTAATACAGGAATATAATTTAAAACAAGATAAAAAAACTATGTATTATAGTTTTAAATGCATACTTAATTTACAGTTGCTTTTGTCTTTCAAGTGTCTTCAGGAATAAATATGTATTTAATAAGCAATTTTTACTTTGCTAATTGCAGAATTTTGTATATCAGGAAAGAAGTATATCTAAGCATGATTCACATGCTGAGAATGAATAAAACGATACTTTTTATTTATATTTATTTTTTTGTTTCTTTGAGGAAGAGGTCAGAGGCTGCAATTCAAAGTACACCAGGAATTATACTCTGGTTTCTCTTCAGATCTTATAAATCTTTCCACTTTTACATATATTTTAAAAACATCGACCCAGGCTCCTTTTCATTTTTTGTTTTCATGTAGAAATGGCCCTTAGGTGGTGCTGTGGCTCTACTAAAAGAAGAAGTTTGCTCCCTTACCATGAGTACACAATCCCCATTTTAATTTTCTGCTTATTTTTCTTAGACATATGTATTCTGACTCCTTTTTTAAAAATCTACTATACTTTAGTATTTGATCTTGTTTATCACCGAAGGTAACATTTTATTTATGTTTACTCCTTTTTTAAAAGTTTGCAGTATTAGTATATTGGCTTCTGACATCAAATAAGAACTCAGAAGGATTAAGAATAATACAAACTAACAGAAAACATAAACGATTTTTAATGATGTATTTTTCAGGCTACTATGTTTAATGATGTCTGCTTAGTTTTCAAGAAAAATGTTTAAACTTTGGGTTTTTTATGTACTATTTTTCTGTCATTTTACAGAGATTTTATAGTTTATAATTTTTCTGTAATGTATTAATTTTTGTAAGTACTGAATTTTTGCCTTCAGATTATGTATTTTTCAAAACATTTTTTATATTTTTAAATCATGTTCCACAATTTCTATTTCTTAATCATGTTTTAACCTCAGATTAAAGAAAACACAGCTTTTTAAAAAATGTAATAATTAAAAACACTTTTCAATTTCTATGTACTTAATAGGATTATTATGGTAATGAATTTCATTTTTCATAGTGATTTATCTATTTTTTATTAATACAACTAGTACAAATGTCAGAAGGCTCAGTGTATTTCATAAACAATTTGTTTGTTATGTTCACACGTGAATAAGTTTTGGTATACAGATTCAAACATCAGTTTCTCTGGGACAAAACTAGGGGCAGCATTCTTGGGGCCCAGTTTTGGAGGAGAGACCCCTCACTCCAATGCAGATAAATTAAAATTACATGAAGTTACTTCAAGGAAATGTGGCCTTTGGGAACTCATGTCAAGTCCTGTTAAGTCTCAGCCTAGCAGTCAACCTCATTCTGTGTAGGATAACACTCTGCTTTGTCTTCACAACCAGTTATTTTGCTAATGAAATATTTAATTTAATTATATACAAACATAGCTGATTTTCCCACGGATTATTAGGAATAATAATAACAAAATTAAAAATTTAAGTAGAAGAACCACAAAGAGGAATAGTAGCTCAGAATAATAGGTGCAAAGTAATAATTAAATAATTTCTTGCCTAATAATAAAAATTCCTTTAGTAGTGTAATTGGACTTCACTTTTTAAAAAGTCATTTGAGAAATGGATAGAAATCTGTGTGATGATGACATTGAAACTCAGTTGTGCTCCTTTTAACTTTTAACAATTCTACATAGCAGTGATATAAATTTAACTAAACACTTTATGTATTTCAAGTAATAATTCATTCTTCTCTATAATTTTAAACTAACCAATAAAAGCTTGGTTTTTTTTTTGTATTCATAATTCCCCAGAATGCTCATGCTTCACACCCTTTGAATCATTTTGATTGGATTATTATATTCAAGTTTTAATAGTAGATCACTCTAGCTAGATCTACCAAGAATTGAATCCACTGACGCAAAAATTGAAAGAAGTCTGCAAAAAGACTCTTCAAGCATTAACATTAAAGTAGTAAATGGGGAGAAAAAAGAATTTAAGATAGCTTGAGCAGCATGTGTTCAAAATATAAATTAGAAATATTTCAAAACATAATTAAGAGGTCTGCCGATAGAAAAAAGGACTTAAAGGGGAAATGCAAACTATGGAATACAATAAGCTTAAGTTTTAGGAAAAAAATAGAGATGCAGGAAGGAGCATATTAAACTCTCTTTAAAATGCACATTGAATAAATATAACCTCAGGCATAAGAGTTTTGCAACATGTGTTCAACAACCAGTATAATAAGCCTTGAAATGCTTGAAGATAGAACTGGCAATTTTGTTTTTTAAATGCAGAAAATATGCTGTGTAAAAGGAAAAGGTTATTTAGTGTATATCTGCAAAACTACGTTGTAGACCGAGTTGTTACAAATCCATTTTATGACCAAGGTGCATAACTTCTCTGGGACTTATTTTTCTCATCTTTGAAATAGGAAGATTGGATGACCTCTGAAGCTTCCTTGAACACAATTACTTCATCTTTATATGAAGCAGAGAGAAAAGTTTCAGAAACCTTAGATCAGATATTTTAGGCTTCTTTTTCTTTCTCTCATTCTCTCCTTTCCCTTTCCTCCCTCCCTCCCTGAGTCCCACTCTCCCTTACTTCTTACCCCTCCTCTTTGTTTTTTCTACCTCCAGCTTCTACTTCCTTCCTTTCTTCATTTCTTCCATTCTTTCTTCCCTTCTCAACAGATAAGTTTAATATTAGTGGTGGTTTTGTGGTGGACTTTTTGGAAAATATAAGGTTGCACAATTCTTGTCAGAGGTCACAGGAATGGCTGTGTCCAGATGTGGAAGGGACCTCAGAAGCCACTGCTCATCGTGTTTATGGAAAACAGCAGCACCTAGGAAGCAAGAGTGGAATGCTTCTGCAGCCAACAGTGGGAGTTTCTTTGCTCAGATACATTCACAGAGATGGGGAGCAGCTGATTTATTTTGTAAGCCTTTGCATGTTAAAACCCCCAATTTGTTTAATGATGCCAATAGAAGTTTATGAAGGGAAAAGAAACAAAATTAATCCACATTCTGTGAGAAAGAGCTGGGATAATTTTTAAAGATCTTCATTGAAGCAAAACAAGTTTCTTAAAGACAAAAAAGAAAATTCTCTGGCACAAGTTGGTTGAATCATCTGCACAGTATAAGACTGTTGGATACAGGAAAAAAAAAAAAAAAAAAAAAAAAAAAAAAAAAAAAAAATAGCAGCCTGCATTGACAGAGCAGGGCAGACAGCAAGCTGAAAAATTACACCACCCAAAATGGAATGAAACAAATGGTACCCCTTGGGATATGAAGGCAGACACTTCAAGGCATTTGTGTATGCATTAATTATGTTACTCTCCATGGCAGTGCAAAGCCATGAAAAGACAAAAAGGCTTTTAACCACTCTCTGCTTCAGGACTGAGCTATACCATGTGTACTCACATCTGCCCCAGATTAGAATGATATGTGTAATGCAACTAAATATGACACACAAGAGGACTGGAACCCCACCCTGCCTACATGTCATCTATTTTGAGTCAAGTTAGGATGATCTATATGCTGAAAAAATGTTATACTGAGAAATAACTTTTCTAAGCCCTAAAAGAGGGATGAGAAAACCTGTTTTTTCCAATAGTTTTCTTTCCATTTCTTAAAAAGAAAGGGGAGGGGAGGTAGGATAGAAGGAAAACAGAGAGAGTAGGGGTGCAGATAAAATCAGGACACCCAATAAACTTTGAATTTCAAATAAATAATAACATTTTTTATTGTAGGTATGAGGGTACTTCAAAAAGTTCATGGAAAGATTCGCACTAATCTTTTTTCCCATGAACTTTTTGAAGCAACTTCATTTGTCCCAGATACTGCATTGGACTTACCAAATAGCATATATGTGTTGTGTGTGTGTATATAGCGTAAATATTCCAAAATAAAAGTTTTAAAAATTAATTCATTGTTTAATATTTAAATTTAAATTTTACACCACTAAATCAGGCAATATTGGGAGAAAGGCAGAAACTCTGTCTACTAAGTGCATGACTATTCTGATTTTCTTTTTGATTTTATAACAGAACCTAATGAGCATTTACATATGCTTACTAATTCATCGAGAAGGTACAATAAATACTACTACGAAAACACTGAAAAAATGTTTGTTTTCAAGATACTCACATTTTTAATAATTCGGAACTAAGTCTAGTTGTACCTGAGTCTTTTAGCTGGGATAATTACTTCAATCCTTAGCTTCAGTTTGGATATGGTAATCTGTCTCTTTTCAATCATTGATTTTGGTTAGATAGGACAGTGTACCAAACTAGGTAAATATCAAGAAATAGCAAAGATGGCATATCCAGCAGCTGGTGAACTGTAAGTTCTCTAGAAATAATAAAAGCAAAAGATGCACAGAAAAATAAATTGACCTCTGCTTATCTTCCCGCAAAGGTTTTGTTTTCTCAACTATCTGTTAAGAATACAGTCTTTAAAATATTCTGAAAAAAGTGCATTAAAATCGTGTTTTTAAAAAGTCACAAAAATCAATCTGAACTATAATGGTAAATTGCTATGATTTCTTAAATATTTTTAGACTATTTTCGTAAAATACTTTGTAATGGGCAATAATTCACTTAATGTAAGTCTGACATTGAATACAAACTCCAAATGTATATTTGTTTGTATTCATTCTTCACAGAAACAGAATTACAGTTTTGTGAATAATTTTTCATTTGTAGTTTGCGAGACATATCAAGAAATCTGAAGGCCAGAAAATTCCTAAAGTTGAGTTGCAAATATCAATTTACGGAGTAAAAATTCTAGAACCCAAAACAAAGGTAAGGCTTATTTTTGAATGTCAGAAGCACTCTAATCTTTAATTAATTGTAATTATATTTCTATTTTAATAAATATTTAAAATTTGTTACCAATTTGAACTGTTTAGTTCTCAGTTAATGACAATTTAAAACTGTATAGGATTTTTAGGGGGATAAAGCAACTTTTGGAATTGCTTTCTGAGTGGTCTGTTTTTTAGCCTGTGTTTGAGATGTAATAATTTATGTTAAGTGTACAGTTGTCTCTTGGTATCCATGAAGGATTGGTTCCAGAAATCCTGCAGATATCAAACTCCTGGGATACTGAAGTCCCTTATATTGAATAGCATAGTATTTGCATATAACCTACCCATATCCTCCCATATACTTTAAATCATCTATAGATTATTTATAATACCTAAAACAATATAAATGCTATATAAATAGTTGTTATACTATATTGTTTTCTATTTGCATTATTTTTTAATTGTCATTTTGTTATTCTTTATTGGTTATTTCCCCGAATATTTTTGATTCATAGTTGGTTGAATCTGCAAATGCAGAACCTGCAGATACAGAAAGCTGAATGTATTCAACACTGTTTAGAGTTTTATTTAGAAATTTTTCTTCATATGATGTGAAAGAAATGCAAACAGTGTGGTTCACTAAGTATGAAAGAAAACAAAAGCTGTATATTGTTTGTTAAAATGTCTTGCACTGACTTTCATTGCTTGTAGAAATCATCAGTGTGTTAGTTTTCTAGGGTTGCCATAACAAATACCACAGACTGGGTGGTTTAAGCAACAGAAATTCATTTTCTCACAGTTGTGGAGGCTGGAAATCCAAGGTCCAGAGGCCAGCAGGGTTGGTTTTCCCTAAGGCCTCTCTACTTGGCTTGCAGATAGCCTCCCCTTGCTGCTCTTCTCACGGCCGTCCCTCTGTGCATGCACACTTCTGGTGTCTCTTTGTATGTCCAGTTTCCTCTTCTTATGAGGACACTGGTTAGATTGGATTAGGGAACACACTAATGGCCTCATTTTAACTTATTACCCTTTTAAAGACCTTATCTCCTGTTAAAAGAAAAACTTTAGACAAATTAGATCTAGCAGAGTTTATTAGAGCAAAAAATGATTCATGAGTCCAGAAGAGGATCAGAGAGCTCTGCCCAGCAGAGTAACAGCAAACCTTTATAGGCGGGGGAAAGAAGCAAAGTAGAGAAATCACCTGACTGGCCACAGGTAGGTGTCTGCCTTATTTGCACATGGTGTGATGAACTGGCTTCCTGTGACTGGCTGAAACCCACCTGCTTCTGATGGGCTGAAACTCAGCTTTTTATTATACTCCTAAGTTTCAGTTTGTTTACATACAAAGTTAGATTACAGTTTGTTATGTAGTAACTCAAAAGTATGGAGAAAGCCTCAGGCTGATGGCCTCCTGCTTATTTAATTTAACACTCTAAATACAGTAACATTCTGAGGTACTGGGGGTTAGGGCTTCAACATATGAATTTTGGGGAAATGTGATTCAGCCCATAATACAAGTAAACTTAAGTTCTTTTATTTAAGGGCCTTTGTCCCCCCCAAACATAATAAAATATTTTAAAATGTAGCCTATTTTAGATTCAAATTTATTAGTATTTACTTGTAATGGACTAAATTGTTTCCTTCCAAAATTCCTATGTTGAAGCCCTAACCCCCAGAATGACTGTATTTGGAGATAGGGCCTTTAAAGAGGTAATTAAGGTTAAGTGAAACACTAAGGGAGGGATCCTAATCCGAGATGACTGGTGACCTTATAAGAAGAGGAAAAAACACCAGGGATGCACACACAGAGAGGAGGGACCACAGACACAGCAAGAGGGCAGCTGTCTGCAAGCCAAGGAGAGAGACTCCAGAGAACTACAGAACTGTGGGAAAATAAATTTCTGTTGTTTAAGTCATCCAGTAGGTGGTATTTCGTTATGGCAGCCTTAGCAAACTAACATAGAACTTTATACACAATGCCGCAGAATTATTGTTTAGTAATGTTTATAACACCATGATAGTCAATTTGGAAAAATTAACATGTAGCTCCAATTATTTTACAAACATATATTGTCAAAATTTTCTTCTAACATTGTAGCGTGCTTATTGACAAATTAGTTCAATTTAATAACCAATAGGAATAATCCTATTTCTGCATTTCCTGGCCTATAAATAAATTGTGAATATGTCACAGGTCTACAAATTTTTACTAGTCTTACAGGTGCCACTGATATCTTCATCTCTGTAAATATTGGTTCCCCAAAACATCTTGCTATTCAAAATGTGGTCTGCGAACCAGCAGCATCAGCATCTATTGGGTGCTTATAAGAAACATAGAAACTTAGGCCCTATTCCAGACCCAATGAATCCATATCTGCAAGTTAAAAAGAAATCCAGTGATTCATACGCATATTAAAGTTTGAGGGTCTCTGGTGTAGTATATAGTTTGGTGGCTACATACAGTGGGCCTCATTTTCAAATTGAAGTCCATGGAATAGCTGCATAAAAACTGTTGGAGGCATTTGCAAAAATAAGTTCTAAGATCCCATCTTAGCCTACAGAATCAGAGTCTCTGAATGTGGAAATTTTGCATATGTAATCTGGTTAGGACAACTGGATGGTGGCACAGAGGCACCCACAGTTATTGTTCTTCAATTCCATGTTAAAGAACAATGGCATTTTTTCAAATTTTTCAAGATATGAATTTAAGACCTCCCACAATAATTCAGTCTAATATTCTCCTATTATCCACCCTCCACATTAAATAACAAAGACATGGAGAGTTTCTTTGGTTATGGCTATCCCAAGATAACTACTGAGGTAGCTGAAAACAAAAAGGAAATAATAAAAGGATAGTAGAAGGGCAATTCAAGCATGTAATGGAATATGTGTAGTTTGCTGAGAAACAAGGCAGTTGAAAATGAGACATTATCTACTAAACAGTTGGGTTGGCTGATGTGAATTCATTAGGCAAATAGTGGTTACAAAAACAGCAATAGGCTGAGGAAGTAGTAAGCTTCAGAGGGACAGTGCAACCAAAAGGATAGCAATGGAAGTGTAGTCTTACATGCATTACAAAAGAAAAATAATCCTATTCATGCATTTACTTCCAAAATTAAATGGATGTATAGTTGCAACGTCCTGCCAGAACAGGTCATTTGTAGGCCATGTTGTGTGGAAAGATTTCTACTAAATCATACAGATTCTGTGTTGTTTTGGAGTGTGTGTTTGTGTGTGTGTGTGTGTGTGTGTGTGTGTGTAATTAACTATTAATAGATCTGCAACATAACCAGCACGACCTTAGACAAGCGCAAGTACAAAATGGCACCACCCACCCCCTCCCCTACCTTCCCCCCTTCCCTTTATGAGAAGCCTCCTGACTTAAACAGAAACCACTTTTGCTTCCACAAGGACGCAGTTCTCCACCCAGATCCATATTAGCATAATGCCCCTCCTTGATGGTATCAGTCAGCCCTTGGCACACTATATAAGCTCTACCACCCCCACACCTGGTGCTGTCCCCCATTTTCAGGGCAGCCCCGAGCTGTTCCCCACTTTGAGCACAGCCCGGCAGATTTTCTTCCTTTAATAAAGCTTGAATGGTACCTGGCATCGCCGCTCACTTTCTTTCAACTATTACTTCAATTTCTCATCTGAATGTTTGGGACTTGTCAAAGTACACCTTGAAATATGTATGACTGATAATACACTTGTATTAATCTATCTCTGTTGCTTACAACACAATAACTGGAACTGGGTGATTTATAAGAAAACAAAATTTATTGCTTACAGTTTCAGAGACCGTGAGTCCAAAGTCCAGGGAACACATCTGGTGAGGGTCTTCCTTGGTGGTAGCTTTACAGCAGTGCAGGGATCTCACATGGTAGAAAATGACAGAGCAGAGAAAGAGAGACTGTCATGTGCTGTCCTTTTAAAGCCCTCAGAACCACACCCTAGACTCCAGTATTAATCCATTCACTACAGCATGGTCCTACAATTTTATCACCTCTTCAAGGCCCCACCTTTCAGTTACCACAATAGGATTTCCCATCCTCTCAACACTGTCACAGTGGGTGGGGGAAACTAGCCTGGAACTTTGGGGGCCATAATTTAAGCTTCAGTGAGTGGGGGCATTCAATCCACAACAGCACTTTATGTATCATATTTATATGTTCTTGTTCTTTTTGATTTGAGTCTGTCCATAGTGTACCCTAGGCTATAAAAATTTCCCCAAGTTCATGTAACATAATCTACTAAATCGTTCTCTTATTAGTGAACATTTAGAATGCTTCAAGTTTTTCATTAATTGATAGAAAGTTTAAGTATTTAGAAAATACAAATATGATTAATGCAGTATATAGAGAGAACATCTTTAGTTTTTAGAATTGTCAATTTAACATTGCCATGTCCTTAGAAAAGCACAAAATATAAAAACGTAAAACACTACAAGATGACTGCCACTAAAATCCTAAGTGTGTGGGGTATGTGTTTCTGTGTAAAGAGGGACAGAGAGAAGGATCATGTAAATGCAAATGTGGCATATTACCAGTTGGCTAGCTGAAGAGTGTATGGATAGGCATTGCAACTTTTACTTTAACCTAAATCTTTATTTTCATTAGTTTCGAGGAATTTTTTGATTTCCTGTTTAAGTTCTTCTTGGACCCATAGGTCCTTCAGGAGCATGTTGTTTAATTTCCATGTATTTGTATAGTTTCCAGAGTTTCACTTGTTATTGATTTCTAGTTTCAATCTGTTGTTGTCTGAAAAGAAACTTGAAATGATTTCAGTTTTTTTATATTTGTTGAGACTTGATTTGTGACCTGACATGTGATCTATCCTGGAGAATGTTCCATGTGCTTGATGAGAAGAATGTACATTCTGTAGCTGTTGATGAAATATTCTGCAGATATCTGCCAGCTCCAGTTGGTCTAAAGTATAGCTTAAATCCTGTTTTTCTCTGTTGATTTGTTGCTTAGATGATCTTTCTGATGTTGAAGGAGGGGTGTTCAGGACCCTACTGTTATCGTATATGGGTCTATCTCTTTCTTTAGGTCTAATAGTGTTTGCTTTACATATCTGGGTGCTCTGGTGGTGGGTGCATATATATTTATGATCATTATATCTTCTTACTGGATAAATCCCTTTAGCATTATATAATGGCCTTTTTATCTCTTTTTATGGTTTTTGATTTAAAGTCTGCTTTATCTAATATAAGAATAGCTACTTGTGCTTGTATTTGGTTTCCATTTCAGTAGTATATCTTTCTCCATACCTTTACTCTTGGTCTGTGTTTATCTTTATAGGTGAGGTGAGTCTCTTGAAGACAGCATATAGTTGGGTCTAGCTGTTTAATCCACTCAGTCAGTCTGTGTCTTTTGAATGAGGAATTTAATCTGTTTATATATAGGGACGTTATTGAAAGGTATTTTCTTACTCCTGGCATTTTGTCACTTTTCATTTGGATGTTTAAAATATCTTTTGTTCTTTTCTTTCCGTTTTTTTTATTTGTCTTCCGTGTTTGTTGGTTTTTTGGTAAGATATAGTTTCTTTGTCTTTCTTGTCTGCATTTTTGCTCTACCAGTGGGTATTGTTCTTTATTGCTTATTCACAGTAGTCATTATCATTTTTTGGATTCCAGATGCAGGACTCCCTTGAGAATTTCTTGTAGGGCTGGTTCTGTCATAGTGATCTCTCATGGTTTTTGTTTGTCTAGAAAATATACTATTTCTCCCTCATTTCTGAAGGCTAACCTTGCTGGGTATAGTATTCTTGGCTGGCAATTTTTTTTTCTTTCTTCATTTTTTCTTTATTTTTATTTTGCATATGTCATTCCATTATCTTATGGCCTACAGGATTTATGTTGAGAAGTCTGCTGTTAGTCTGAAGGGGACTTTCTAATAGTTGACTTTATGCTTTTCTCCTGCTGCTTTTAGGTTCTCTTTTTGTCTTTGAGTTTTGCTCACTTGACTATAATGTGTTTCTGATTGGACATTTTTGTATGAATATATTTGGGGATCTTTGAGCCTCCTAGATCTGAATGTCCATGTCTCTCCCTATACCTGGGAAATTTCAACTATTATTTTATTGAATAGATTTTCAATGCCTTTCCCTTTCTCCTCCCCTTCTGGAACACCTGTGGTTTGGATATGTGTCTGACCTTTTAAATGAGACTATTCTTTCTAATGAAAGACATGTGAAATCTCTTTTAAAGACTTCCGTCAACCAATTAGGCCATCATATCTGTTTGCTTTTTCTTTTCTGGCTTCCTGACCACTTAGGGACACCTACCCTTATGAAACCCAATTAACCAGTAACTTATGATTTGTCAGATTATTTGTTCTATCTGCTCTCCTGATCTTTTGTGTTTTACCTGAAATATAAAGAAAAATTTTCCTTTAAATGCCTGTAAACATGAAAATGGAAATATGAAAAATTTACAGAAAAATCATAGTGGGTAATATTGTAGAGTGAAGAAAAAGTAAGGTAGATAGAATCAGAAATTGACCAGGGCTTAGAAAAAGTCTGTGGTTGGTAATAAAAGAATAAAGGTAAAAGTGACAAGGAAGTGGATGATTACCACCTACTATTTTTGTCATTGGAAAATCATATTTTCAGATTTCTACCAATAAGCATCCCCCATTGATAACCTGTCAACCATAACATTCTGTTTCCTAAGGTTTTCCTATCAAATCTTCATGCTGCTCCCAACCTAAACGCCATTTACAAACTATCAGTGACATGGCATTCAACTCAACATGATTAACCAGTTGACTATTGATCATCCTATATTGACTTACCCTGATAAATAATATCATTGCTTTTTTTCTCATCTGAAAGTCTTAATTTTCTACACTGAATAGCTAATTTTAAGACACTCAATTGAATTTCTCCCAAAATATAAGTCTTCTGAACTTTTAATGGGAAAGTAGCACCTCTTTTTATCCCTAACTAACCTGAAGAGCAATCTTGGAGTTTAAAAATGTTTGAGATGTTTTATATGTTCAGTTATATTACATATGAATATACAGTGAATATCTCTTACTCATATATAGAAAATACCATTTTTAAATCCATTTACAAATGTAGGTAATCTAAAACAGGGACTTACAAGCTCTTCTGAGTATCATTGCCCCCAGGACATCCCTAAAACTGATTGCTGGAGTCCACCCAGGCCTTTCAGAATCCCAATCTTCAGAAAAAGGCTTGGTATGTGTATATATGCACATAGAAAGAGAGACAGAGAGAGAGAGAGAAAACGTGACCTTCCCAGGTAACTTTGATACAGCCTTTTCACAGACGTGAATTTAGAAACCACTATTTGAGAAGACATGAGTGAACCAGGAAAAAAAATCTTTTCTTCATTTTATTTTAGCTATAAGCTTTAATTTAGGAAAAAAAGACAACTAAATATGATGCTCCTAAAGTAAATTTATTTATAGTTAAATATACATGCGTGAGACAAGATTTTAAAATACATTATTAATCTAATGTGGGCTTTCTTTATAGAAAATAAAATCTCTATTTTTCTTTCCCACTTGGATGGATGAAAATGGAAGCAAAGCAACCTCAGTAATAATTGGCTCCTATACATTTCTTTCTGTGTCTTTTCTTTTTCTGCATTTCTCACTTGTCCTCCAGATAAAGATGATGTGGTGCTGGAAACAGGTGGTGTGGATGAATTGAGGATAAAAACATTTACTGATTTTTTGTTTCAACTCTAATAAAATATCACTAATATTGAAGGGTATGTGTTTTCTTACTGTGGTTTATTTTGTTTCCTAATCTCCTTATCCTGTCTCACCCAAATTTAGTGCTGTATTTAAAATTCATAAAGATCTATTAAAAGTACAGCAAAAAAATCTTACAAAAATAATGAAATTACAACTTTCAACTCCCTAGTCTTTTGTAGAAAGATACCTTTGCTAATATAAACAAACATTAGGTTACTATCAATTGTTTATAACCAAAGCCTTTCCGTGATCATACTGGTTGGTGAGTGAATGAGGGACTATGTAGATTTCATCACCAGCTATGTAAAGGAATCTTTTTCTATATCATATAGCAATGATATTTCCTCTTTATGTCTCATTAACATACTATATGATTAATAAACTGTTGCAGAACTCCTATCAGTATTTGTAAGCTACAGTGCAGCTAAGGGATAGCCTTAGCTATTTGACTGACTGTATTGACATTAAAACAAAAAAATATGTTAATGAGAAAGGGGACTGGTCAGTCCAACAAAATATAGGAAAAGGAAACTCTCTGGCAAACGTGGTCATTGTTCATCTTAACTTTGACCACATGACATGGAAGATGCCCTCAAGAAAATCTTAACTTACTTAAGTACCCCTTTTTGGCATTGATTCACCCAGCTGTTGAAATGAATGGATCAAGCTATCTGGTAATTATGACAAGCATTATTATCATATAATATAGTTTCTCATTTTAATTCTCATGCTTACCAAGCAGCTCTTTGATGACTTACCATTTGATTTCTATGCAGGGAAAGAATGCATTGCTGTAAACAAATTATCTTAGCATTTATTTGTATATGTCATTTTATGTACTCATTTTTGGTCTGATGAACAGTAATGTGAATTAGAGTGATAGATCAGATCCCAGAAAGCTGACAAATCAAACTCTGAGCTTGGAAGGATAAGGATCTCTACATCAGTGATACTTATCTTGACCCAAATCTTTGAGATTCTGACTCAGCTGGGATAAAGACAAGGATAAAGACACCCCAGGTATTTGTGCTACAGGTAGTCTGAAACCATCTTTAGAGAAACACTATTATTTTATAAGCTAAAATAAGGCTTTCTGGGGAGACATTCAGCCAGTCTTACTTGGGTGAAACTACAATTGCTTCCATCCCCAATCTTTTACAATACCCACTAAGTAATGCAGGTGACCTGAGTTTCTATATAATAATATGACTAATCTTATGCATATAAGTGAAGTGTTAAATGCTTGATCTTTTGACTAAATAATATTAATTTTAAAAAATTATTTAATTATTTACATTATGTAAATATTTTTATGTTGATTAAGAATATACCTGATATTTTGTGAGGTTCTGTAACCATGAAGATACATAAAATAAAATTTAATAAGAAAACTAAAGATGACATGGTAGTATGTTTCACACAAAATTGTGTGCAGATAAGCCTGTGTTCTAAACTGTAATACTTGTTAGTAACAGTGAGATAAAATGAAAAGTGTTCTGTTTTAAAAGGACTCCGCTAATTCTTTAATCTTGTAGAGGTATCTTAATCTCTCTGGACCTCAGTGTCCTCCTGTGTAAACTTGTAGGGTTTAAAGTATACAGTCTCTTAAGATCCTTTGTAGCTCAAGATAGTCCATGAACCTCTGATCCTCTTGTGTTATGCTTATGTTTCTCTAGATACTGTTGAAATGAATATCTTAGTTTAATGCTGAGTCAAGATGTGCATCTACATTATGTATTTGTTTAAGTTTAGGGTGTATGTAATTATAAAACAAAAGCTTAACAGATGATTGTTCAACTTTTAAAGTCACAAGTTATACGTTATTAACACAAGCTGGTATTTCAGAAAATGAAAAAGAATCCCATCAACTATGTTTATTTCTATCTGTGTTCACAGGAAGTTCAACACAATTGCCAGCTTCATAGAATATCATTTTGTGCAGATGATAAAACTGACAAGAGGATATTTACTTTCATATGCAAAGATTCTGAGTCAAATAAACATTTGTGCTATGTATTTGACAGCGAAAAGTGTGTAAGTATGCCAGATGTTTTAGATTGGTTTGTTCTGTTTTACAAGCCAGGACTTGTCTTGTTTCTGGCATTAGTAAAGTATTTGGAAATGAAAAAAGGTCTGCAAATACTTAACTGCACTAATAGATTCATCCTGTCATGAGAATATGTTTCAGGATTTCATCCTTAACTAAATTCTCATGTTACTGACATAAGCTTGCATGCAAATTTCTTTTGTTACAATGTCATGCCTGCTTATGTTATGCATTTATTTCTCTTATTTATAATCATTTAATTTATTTTTAAATTTTAATCTCAAATATGATTTAGCAAATGCCCATAATACAAAGAGTGCTGGTGAGCAAAAGTGTTTTGTTTTTCTTTCCCTGAAATGTGATGGATTTGATGAAAATAAATATTGTAATCCCCAGGAAATAAAATCTGTATGACTCTTCAAAAAATTTCCAGTATTTGCAAATTTGGTTTTTGATGTTCATTATTCAGAAAACTTAATATAATGAAATGTAATAGAATCATGTTTGTATGTTCATGCGTGTGTGTGAGTGTGAGTGTGTTTGCTTTGAATGTAATCTGAAGTTCTTAGCAAGTCAGCACAACTAGGAAATTCCAAAGTTAAGTTCTGCAGCAGTTCTTTAATCATCTGGAACCTTAAGGAAAACCATGTGTCTCAATTATAAGCATAAGCTAATTCTAATGATAACCTAGTCTGAGTTCCTGTTACAAAACATAAGATGTAAATTCCAAGCACACATTGCAGCCATTGATGGCTTCAATGAATGAAGACCATCTAACCTCAACAACGTTATTTGTTTAGAGAGGAAATAAGACTTACTTTATCTATTTGCTAATTTTTCTTGCTATCAAAAATAGCAGAGGACTAATGTTATCACTATTATAATTTATTTATCTGGTATCAGTATGTGAACTTTTTGACAGCAAATACCTTTTTATTTGTCCATGTAACTCCTACGTCAAGTGGACAATAGATGCTCAGTCAATTTTTCCTTAAGGAAAAGACCATGTTGAACATTTCCCAAATGTAGAGAAAGTTATTTTCTGAAACTTTCAAATTATAGTGCTATAAAAAGTCAAGCTAATGCACTAAGCTACTTGGCATCATAATACCTTTTAAGAATTTGGTGAACATTATGATACATCTCATCAGAACAGTGTGCTTACCCATATAAGACAATATTATGTGTAAAAAAAGGAATTTTATGTGAATTTCAAATTGTTTGTGAAATATATCTTGTTGAATGAATGTATTATGTTTACATATTTCAAGTGCTTCTTAGCCATGATTGTTTGCAGATGTTTTTCTCAATGTGATTGAGAAGATTAAAGTTGATATTTGTTGAATATCTTCTATGTGTAAGATAAAATAACCTTTTAGCACTTTCACCAAGCAGAAAACTCAGTTTTCCTTTTTTCATGCCTTACACATAGAAATAAACTTCTTTGAGGTCCTTTTGAAATATTCATAATTTGGTTCACTGTACATATTAGTCTTCTCATAGATTTGTGCCATTTGTTTTATCTTTCTTTGATCCCCATCCAAATTTGTTGCATAAACATTTAAAATATAAGCTTGCTAGAACCCCTGTGTAGTTAAATTTTTTTCTTTTTTTAAAAAATTTATTTTTAATTGCACATACTTATAGAGTACAACAGGATATTTCAATACATGTATACATTGTGTAATAATCAAACCAGGGTAATTAACATATTCATCATCTTAAACATTCACAATCATTAGTGTATGTAAAAATCATAAGGGATGTCTTTTAAAATACAGTTTTTGAGGACTCACGTCAAGAAAAATTCTTATTGATTGGGGATGATACCCAGAAAATCTACATTTAGCAGTTTCACCAAGTAATTCAGTTGCAGGTAGATGATAATTTTGGCTTTGAAAAGGGTCTAAGATATCTCTCCAACTATAAGTTGCCATCACCTTCATGACTTCAAAAAGGACATGTTTCCTCAAAATTTCATTATTTCATCTTCACTATGAGGTTTTATTGGCTGTAATTGTAATAATGACTATACTTATAAAATTAATTTTATATGTATATGAAATTTTTGATATGCCATCTTAATTCTCATTTTAAATAGTTAATTATAGGATATTAAAACAGGAAATAAATTATATCATGATTGGCACAATTCTTTCTTCTCATTTTAAGAAACCAAGGCCAGAGAGGTTAACTGTTTCCCAAAGTTACAAAACTAAGTTGTGACACAATCAGAATTAAAATCTAAGATGTTAGATTCCCATTGTTGCATTTTTCCCATCATACAATATTTGTTCTCATAACTGTAACCCATTTCAGAGTCCATTTGCTCTTATTGGGGCTTGTACCTTATTCACTCATTGTATTTTATCTTTCCAGCCCTTCCTTCTGTGAAATTGTTGAGAGTTTGAAAGATAAATGTAACCTACCCTAGTATGCCACAAAACTGGAATTCACTACTCTATTAACAATATCTTGTTGCATTAAAGAGTCTTCCTCCCTCCACGGTGACAGTGAGGACCACATAGAAAACCAGAATGCTCAATCCTGCCAAGTGAGGAAGCTGAACCTCTATCTTCACCAGGCACTAATGAGGCAGTGCTTATTCACCCTATTACCTACTGGAATTGTGTCAAAGGTGGCGACCTAAAACAGAAGGTCTAAATAATTCCTAGAATTTCAAAACATAATATATCCAGATTCAACTGAAAATCACTCTTTATACCAAGAAACAGGAAGATCTTAAACTAAATTATAACCACAACCAGTATATACCAACACTATGTCAGAGATCTTATAATTCTAACACAAATATTTGAAATAAACCAGCATAAAACATAATAAAATGAGCAATTACAAGCATGTTTGAAACAAGCGAAAAAGTAAAAAGTCCTATCAAGAAAACAAAATCTAAGCGATAAAATAGAAAATATAAAGAAAACCCACCTGGAAATATTACAACTGAAAAATATAATAACCACCTAAAAAAAAATCAATGTATGGGCTTACTAGCAGAATAGAGGGGAAAGAGAAAAGAATCAGTGACTTGGAAGACTGACGAATAGGAAATGTCCAATCTGTACAACACACAGATAACAGGCACATGTGAGATAACTGGCAGGCACCCACCAATACACTAACAAAAACAAAACAGAATCTCAGGGACTGTAGAACTGTAACAGAATATCTAACATTTGGGTGTCATTGAAGTCCTGGAAAGAGAGAAGAAAAAAGACAGCCTTAAAAATAATAAAGAAATAATAGTTGAAAAATTCCCAAATTTGGCAAATGACATAAACCTATAGATTTTAAAAATTGCTCTCCAAACAGGATTAATCCAAATAACTGCACACCAAGACATATCATAGTCAAACTTCTGAAAATCAGGAGTTAACCCCACTGCTGCCAAAGATATTGCAGACACAAGGGAGACACTTGCAGCTGTCGGTGCCACTGCCACCCCCATGAGGTAACCCCACTGTTGCCAAGACACTGCACATGCAAGTGAGACAGCTTCAGCCACCAACACTGCTGCCATTACCATAAAGTAAATCCACTGACACCAAAGACACTGCAGACACAAGGGAGGCAGTTGCAACTACTGGTGCTGCTGCCACACCCACGAGGTAACCTCACTGCCACAAAGGACACCTCAGAAATGAGGGAGACAGTTTCAGCCACCACTGGGTGCCATTGCTGCCCCCACAATGTAACCCCACTGCCACCAAGAACACAACCAAGGACACCACAGACAGAAGGGATGCAGTTGCAGCCACTGGGCTTGCTGCCATTCCCACAAGTTAACCCAACTGCTGCCAAAGACAATATAGATGCCAGAGAGACAGTTGCAGCTGGGGGTGCTGCTGCCATTGTGAGGTAATTCCACTGTAACTGTGGACACCATAACTGATTGGGCCATGACTGTGGACTCCACAACCAAGTGGGTGGCCGCTGCAACTACCACTGTTGTAGGTGCTGTCACTACTGGTGCTGCCAGGCAGCTACCATCATCACACAAGCAGCCCTCCACAACCACCACCACAAACACAAGGGTGGCCTGCTATCACAGCAGCAGCTGCAGCAGCCACTGCCACTGTGCAGGTGGACCACCAACCACTGAACTGAATTGACACAGTGAAGTTCACCAGTGGAGTTCAGGGAAGGAGAGTAATAGAAGGAACTGCTCTACTGAATGTCCAGACATTCACACAGAGATACTAGAAATATGAAAAAACAAGAAAATATGAGCCCACCAAAGGAATGCAGTAACTCTCAATAACCAGACCCCATAGAATAGGAAACCCCTGAAATGACTGAAAATTAATACTGAGTAAAAATCTTAGGAAACTCAATGAGGTACAAGAAGATGCGGTTAGATGACACAAAAAACTGAGAAAATTTATCCAGGATATGAAGGAGGAAATTTACAAAGAGATTAATACTTTAGAAAAGAATGTAGTGGAACTCTTGGAACTCTAGGAGTCAGTTAATCAAATAAAAACAAAACTGAGGTCTTGTGCAGGAGGCTAGAGCCACCAAAAGAAAGAATTTCTTATCCTGAAAACAGTCCCTTCAAAATAACTCAGGTAGATGAAAAAACAAAAGGAAAAAAGAATTTTACAAAATGAAGAAAATCGAAGAGAGATGGCATATAATCTTAACACAAACATCTGAGTCATGAGTATTCCTGAAGGGGAGGTAAAAGGAAAAGATATTCATTGAGAAGATATTCAATGAAATAACAGCAGAAAACATCCCAGGTTTAGGAAGAAACATGGACCTTCAGATTGAGGAGGTTCAAAGATCCCCAAACAGATTCAGCTCAAAAAAATCCTCTCTGAGGCACATTATAGTCAAACTGGTAAAACTCAAAGACAGAGAGAAGCTAAACAACAGCAAGAGAAAAGCATCAATCATTTATAAGGGTATCCCCATCAGACTAATAGCAGATTTCTCAATAAAACTACAGGTCAGAAGAGAATGGGAT